GAGAGAGAGAGAGAGAGAGAGAGAGAGAGAGAGAGAGAGAGAGAGAGAGAGAGAAGGTGTGCAACATTTACTTCCGGATTCTTTAATCATTTATTCTCAGGTTTTGTTTATATTTATCAAATTCCTTATTAACTAATTTTTTATAAAATGGTTTCCAAAATACTATAAACCGATTGATTTAAAAGAAAAGCTTTCAAACAATATTGCTTTTTATTTTTCGCAATTATGTTCCCATAATCCGCAGAAACTAATCCATAGCCAGAATCCATCAGAAAAATTGTTTTTCATAATCTTGTGAAGAGTTTATATTTTTCTCAGAAAAAATAATAAATGAAATGCAAAATATAGTTATTAAATGATAAACACTTTACAACATATTATACTTTAGGAAATTTTAGCTTTAAATTGAATTTTGAAAAACATAAACAATTTTGAATGAATAGAAAACTGGATTTGAGTGATAGAGAGATAGTGTGTACACAAAACTCAATAAGTTTTGAGTGTTTTATTTTTGTAAAATATTTCAGTGAAGAGTGAGAGCACTACTCATCTGAGAAAAGCATTGCATAAATTAGACCCAAATATTGCAATCAATTGCTTTATATGTTGTCATATATACACAGAATATACACATATAAAGAATATACAAGAATATACTCATACAGTATATATTCTTATATTTATGTCGTGTATTTTATAGACAGAATATAGTGTATTGTATGCAATATAGTGCAGTAATGTTGAGTATTTTGTAGTACACTATATATACAGTATATGTTGCGAATGGGAAGGTAAGTGCTGTGTCTGTGCTCTACTTTTTATTTCCAGATATGAATACATAATAAAGAAATGAATTGAATATATTATATGTATCGCAATTTGCATTACATTTGTTGCTCTCGTTTTTTTCAGTTCATTACTGTCTCTCTCCACTAATTACCATAAATAGTAATACATTTGCCATTCATATGAATCCAAATTCTGCTGAAAATATATTAGATGTGAAACTCGTGTCTCAATGATTGCGAGCATTAGATAAGATTTATTGCATAATAATAGCGACAGTAATAATAGGCAGTCATTTAACACATTGTACAGTAAAGGCTTTTATTATTAGTTTTTGCCCGATATTCACCCAAAATTATGAAAGAAGACAAAAAACAACACATTTGTCTTATAATTATGTGTTTGTGTTTTAAGAGGCAGAGAAAAAAAGTGTCACTGAAATTGATAATTACTGTCACTCACTAATACTCGTAATGCAAACAAATTGCATATAAATCAATGACTTCGTAATCGGGGTGTCATAAACACATCTGTCTTATCAAAACGACAAAATGCAATATTCTCTACGAAATACACAGGAATTTATAATACCATATCGTTTAGCCATAACTTTGTATTATTTAGTTTTGTCGCTGAAGAGTGTTTTGCGCTCAACATTACGACCGATGTTTTTGATTTATACAGTTTTTCTTGGGCTTAATAGTAGGCAAAAGGAGAGAAAAATACTCATTCATTGTGTGCTTTATCTCAAATCTCTCGACACTTTTTTTGTGCTTTCATTTCCCCAACAATTCTAATGAAAATAAATATCTGAAACACTCTTTAGTCCAGAATTAATGGTGTGATAGAAGCGTTTTGAGCGCACATTTAGCCCTAAGTTGGAAAAACATTGATTTTAGATATTTGACCCCATTTTTCATAACCTATCAAAATATATTTATAATATTATATTTTCATTTAAATCCTTTTTCATATTTTTGCATAACTTTTAAAATTCAATGTTTTATATAATATCATATATAATAGTGTTGTGAGCTATTGATTAAGCCGTCGTTTTCTCTGCAAACGTTAAACTATTTCACATTTATATTGTAATATTTCATTTTATTTTTGTTTTTTATGTGCGAAACAACAAATAATTACCATTTTTGTCGCTTAACGTATTAATAAAGTGAAGGAATATATAATTAATTTTAATAAAATCCATATTTCAATCGATTTGATACCATAATAGGACTACAAAAAATCAATACCAAGATTAATATCACAACCATATGCCGGAACAAAGTAACGATTACCGAGTGGTGGTGTTTGGGGGCGGAGGCGTTGGCAAGTCTAGTCTCGTCACCAGATTTATAAGAGGTATTAACTGCACGTTTGTTACGGTATTTCTATTTTGCTTTGCTTTTTCAAAATCTAAATTTTTCGGCAGAATATCTCTCTATAAATAGATTTCCGGAATATATTTAGTTTCAAAAATAGTCTACAATTATATGTTATATTGTGTTTAATGCTGTTATAAAAGTCATTAGTAGTCGTTTGTTATATAATGGAAAGTCTATTGAATTATTGGGTTAGAAATAAATCCGATATTAAAGAGAGAGAGAGAGAGAGAGAGAGAGAGAGAAGTTGTGTTTAATGCTGTTATAAAAGTCATTAGTAGTCGTTTGTTATATAATGGAAAGTCTATTGAATTATTGGGTTAGAAATAAATCCGATATTAGAGTGAGAGAGAGAGAGAGAGAGAGAGAGAGAAGTTTGTAATTTGCTTTCAATTAGCTGTTTGTTTGTTTTATAATACAATTTGTGACTCAATTAAGTAGTTTTAAAGTCGGGTATAATGTTATAATTGTGTTGCACTTCAGGAACATTTCGCGATTCATACATCCCAACGATTGAGGACACCTACAGACAAGTGATTTCTTGCAATAAAAATGTCTGTACACTACAAATCACAGACACGACTGGATCCCATCAGTTCCCCGCAATGCAAAGACTTAACATCACTAAAGGGCACGCATTCTTCCTCGTCTATAGGTATTGTATATAACAATATTTACAACACTTTACAACACTTTTATATTGTATTATAAAGAATAAAGCCTTTTCTTATAAAGCATTTATTTTGCTAATTTATTCTTGAAATTTATTTCATTTCATGTATTTTTTGTCGTATAATAAGTATCACATCAAAGCAGAGTTTGGAGGAATTGATACCAATATATCGACAAATAATTGAAGTAAAGGCTGGAGAGGAGAATATTCCGATACTATTAGTGGGAAACAAATGCGATGACTCTTATCGTGAAGTAAGCAATGATTTGGCGATTGAGGTCATCAGCAAAGTTATGAAGGGATGCGCTTTCATCGAGACGTCGGCCAAAAACAGTCTCAATGTTTACGAGGCTTTTCAGGTTAATTGCAAATAAACATAACTCTAACTCTTTTTATTATTACTTTATATACACTCTATGTTTACATTCGTTATGTCTTCCCATTTATATATACCATCCCTTATATAATCTCTTTCGGATCCTTAATACATTCAATCGATTGCTTCTCTCTCTCTCTCTCTCTCTCTCTCTCTCTCTCTCTCTCTGTTATGTTCTGTTTATTTGTCAATAAAAAGTGTAATTTTTATCAAATTCTTTTGATGTAATTTGTATGACAACAGGAATTGCTGTCTTTGGATAAGAATCGGAACATATCGTTGAAATTGGATTATAAAAAGTCGAGATCACAGCTTAGGAAAGAGAAATTGAAGGGTCACTGCTCTCTCATGTAATGGCATTTAATTAGTTGTCAATACGATTGCATTACTTTATATACAATACCGTAAAAAGACTTCACAAGACGTTTAGAATATGAGGTTAGGATAGGATTGGAAATGATTTACTGATTATAATATCGTAAAATCCCAGAGAAACACAAATAATAACTAATAATAATAAAAACCAACAATAAGTTTACATTAAATCAATAATCGTTTTGAATCTGTTTATTATATAATTGAAGGAATTTTAGTGTTTACTAAATAAATGAATGTTTTCTATTAGTAATATATTTACAAATAATTTTATGTTTATTTTTGAGCTTTTATACAAAGCTTATTATGAAATTCATTGGATATATTGTTAGACATTTAGGTAACATTTTGAATAACATTTTCCCTGAGCATTTAGTATTGAAATTTTGAATTTTTACACAATTACTATACGTATATCTTTACAATATGTATATCTTATTTGATAAAACGGTTTACAAAAAAGATTACAACAAAAAATCAATTTTGAATTTAGTGTTTATTAATACCATTATTATTACTATACATATTTACATGTGATTTTCGTTTTGCTATATTTTCTAATTAATACAATTGCATATCAATTCAAGGCACACAATAAACGATCATTTGAATCAGTTTTAGATCAATTTACAAAACATGTTATATACATATCTATCTAATTGTTATTAAATCGTTACAATACTAAACCGTATTACTATTCAGATCTCATATCAGAAAAAACTAAATAATATACTAAAGAAATCGTTGGAAGTCTTATGAAAAATTGAATTTTAATGATATAATGTTGAAGAATATATTGAATGTTATTATATTGACTGTTATATTGAAACATAAATTAAAACCATATTTGTTGTTAAGAAATAAACATTTAATTTCTAGAAATAATTATGTTTTGCGTTTATTTAATCATCACATCATTCATATACTTAACCAATTCCTACAATTAAGGTAAATGTATATTTGTATTGTTTTTATCAGGTAACGGGTGATAAACATGGGTATTCGTCACCTACTTTTAATCGTGTTTATCTATATATTATAATTTATGATGGTAGAACTAATAAATTAAATGATTTTGCTAATTCTAAAAAATATTTTGTCATTAATTAAGACTTTAATCCCTCAATAAGAAAACCAAACAATTTGTTGATTCATACATTTATTTCAATTGATTTTATTATTGCGGTTAATCTCTGGAGCCTATAAATCATCTATTGTTTTGCAATTTAAAAATTAATTTTAAACTTAATTAAATGCCTATTTATAAAAACCAGTTAATAACTGTTTGATAATTTAATAGTCGACTTTCAATACGGAAATTGTGTAAAATAAACAAAAACTATAAACTTTATATTACAAACGATAAGTTTAAATGTTTTGGCATCGCTTCAGTTGTGTATATTTCTAATGAATACAACAATAAATTCTTTTCTAAATAACTATTGTGTTTACAAACTAATTGTTTAACTACTTTAACATTTTAATTTAATATCTCTCATACAGTATATCCTCTAATAACGAAAATATCCGCTATAATGCTTACATCACAACTAACTCGTAAGAAAATAGTAAAACAATTATTATATAATTAAATTGCATCAATAATACAATTTTATATGACTTTACTTTTGACTTTTGCTTGAATAAGCGTTGTGCATGATGGTTATTTACTAATTTATTGGTATAAACCAAATATTCTGTCCAATTCTAACAATTATTCTTCAATATACAGAATTATATCATATTCTACGAGAACTTAAATTTTTAGAGTTGAGATACAAAAGCCATGGCATCTGTCGTACGGTTATATAACTAATGATAAAATGCAATACAGTATTAAGAATTGTTGAGTGCATTCAATACAATCTTACATTGGGTTCGTGTAATACTTTATGACCAAAAATATACAGTACTTTATCTTATAATAAAGACTAGAATATGAGAACACATATGCCTAACAAAAGCACTGCATCTGTTTAAATACAATCTGAAAACATTTTAAACTAAATAATAAACTCATTGATGTGTTCAAGGTTTGCATCAACTGATTCTCAACTAGTGTTGTCCAAACGGTTAACCGGTCAAAGAATGGTTTGACCGTTAACCGATCGGTCAAAAAAATCTTTGACTTTAACCTTAACCGCGGTTAACCGTTTTTCACCTAATGACGTCATTATGCGCTAATATATTTGTAAAATACCTTTATTTTTAGGGTATTTTGCAAAAATTTTAATGTATTTTATTTACTTTTGGGGTACTTTTGCAAAAAGGGTGTAACTCTATTAATGAATAATGACTTCTTTTATTAAAATTATTAGTTATTACAGTTATTATAACCAATTATTGCTGTGACATCAATTACGTCGCGGTTAATCGGTTAACCGGTTAACCGTCGGTCAAAAAATGCTTTGACTTTTAACCGATCGGTCAAAAATATCATTGACTTTAACCCGGTTAACCGGTTAAAATTTTTTAACCGGTTAACTTTGGACAACACTATTCTCAACACATTCTGCAACGGATTTTAAATTTTCCCAAATAAACTAAAGAAAAATGTAAAATCAAAATCAAATCCTCTTTAAGTACACTGTAGTGTAAAATAAATAAAATTTCTAATTTAATACTTTTATTCGCATTGTTTTAGGACTTTTCGTTTGTATAAAAAGTTTTCTTTTAATGGTATCATTGAGTGACAATGATTTGTATATTTTTTAGTGCACTCAAACTCAAGTATTTCTTGAAATGTATAAAAACTTATTACGTTATCTAAGCTATAGCTTGATTGGGGGTCCATTGGATGCGAACCCTAATTATCTAACAAATATAAAGTATAGTAAGTATTAAAAAAAATTGTTTCTTTAAGTACGAGTGGTTTGTTTGCGAAACCACTCAAACATTGTATAACAATAATCTGGTCCATTGTAGTGACTATTATAGTGATGGTAAAAATGCATGATTGCCCCCACATATCGCGGGTACACTTAACAGATCATTCAGTATTTTCTTATTTAAACTCTTTTAAACTTAAAGTACAAATAAATAACAAAATGATGAGAGGATTAATATATTAAAAATTAGTTTAAAACTAAAGAGGGTAAGTTTAAGTGTTAAATAAGTAAGTTTACATCCGTGTGATATAACATTTGCAGGACATAAATAAACCTGGCTACAAATATGCATATATCTAGTTGCGCATGGTTATTCAGTGGTTTGTTTATATTAATAACATAATTACGTTTAATTGGACTTTCTTATTGACTTTTTAAATTAGTTTTACATTACTTTCTATCCAAACGCTAATTAAAAATAAATTATAAATGAGACAAAAATCAATGCATAAGTTATACAATAAAAGTGGTAATCAAATAATGTGAGCAGTACTGCCCTATTCAACGGTATGTCACTATAAATAGCATTTGAAAGCAACACAAATACAGTATTCATGCACTGATAGGTCAGCACTATATGTGGCAAAACGCCAATGACTATCACATATGCCATACATTAACTGTAAATACAGTGAATGCGTGAATGAAAACAATCTCTCATAACAAATACATTGGCATTGATTTTGCATTGAATTCTTGAAACGATTCATACAATGAATGCATTAATTAATTGTAAACTTATTATCAAATTATAAGTACTTTAAGCTATAAGTTGTGGCGAAAAGAGTGAAGAGAGGGAGAGAGTGAAGGAGAGGAGGATCGGCACAAATGGACAGTTAGTTTGGCAGCAATCCATTGGTTGAAGGCTTGAAGCGGTGATAAGCGATACCATTGGAGCCTAAGATCTGGTAATTTGAGTGATAATGCGATTACGGTTTACACATATATAAGACATGTCTCAATACAAACGACTCATTCATTCATTCAATCGTTTCATTGATATTTGATAAGCGATACCATTGGAGCCTAAGATCTGGTAATTTGAGTGATAATGCGATTACGGTTTACACATATATAAGACATGTCTCAATACAAACGACTCATTCATTCATTCAATCGTTTCATTGATATATCGTTCATATATTGATCTCTCAATTACTCGTTGATATTCATTAAACGAACCAATCATCTGATCCCAAGACATACCACACACTCTCTCCCAAAGATAATGTCTATAAGAAGTGCTCTGTTTTCGTACAAACTGTCGCCGAACCAAGAGTTTGATGACTCGGCTGTGGAAGCGGTTCTGAAGCAACAATTCTCGGGCCTATCGCTGGCCAGTCGTGTCCAACTCGTGGACGGAGTTCTGGTGGTGCTGTCGGCCGCCGAGAATCGGCTCACAATCACAGTTAGACACTACTCGTCGTCACGATTGGTGTCGATCACCGCCGAAGAGTGTGTAGAGTCGGAAGCGTTGGGCAAAACCAATAGTTTGCTCAACAACTCAAACGCTGAGAAATTGCGCTCAAAACTGGTTTCGGCACTAAATGTACCAAAAGTAGAGCGAATCCCGACTCTGAAGAAGTGGACAACTGTTCCCAATTATTACTGCTCGTCCGACGAACGCCTTCTGGAGTACGACTTCAACGAAGTGGTCTTTGAGGAGCACTCGCAGTACCAACACATCAAAATCCTGGGCTCGCCATCGCTCGGCAATTGTCTACTTCTGGACGATCTCCAGAATCTGGCCGAACGTGACATCGAGTATACGCGAGGACTCATGAAATTCGGCGAAATCTCATACAAAGACAAAGAGGTGTTAATTCTCGGCGGAGGAGACGGAGGACTACTCCACGAACTGCTCAAAGAGGGGCCGAAGTTTGTCACAATGGTTGACATCGACGCTATGGTTATGAACGCGTGCAAAGTGTAAGTGTTTAATGGGAATCACGTTTACGTTAATCGTGTTGTTAAATGTGGTTTTATTGTGATATATAGTCATCTTCGGGGCGCATGCGGTGACACTCTGGACAACTTCGACGGACCCAACTATAAGGTGATTGTCGGCGATTGTCTGCAATACATGGAACAGTACATCCGTGAGGGCCGCTCTTTCGACTATGTGTTCAACGACTTGACTGATATCCCGATCAGCGCCGCCGACAACAAAGACGCCGGTCTGGACGGCGACGAAGACTTGTGGACATTCTTCAAACGCATTCTCGATCTGGCGCTACAACTCGTCAAACCGGACGGCACTTATTTGAATCACGTGAGTGTCCGCTATAACCACCGCCTCTCTCACTGTCTGTCTGTCACTAACTGATCCCTCAATACTAATGGCATGAAAACGTATTCACTCTCACAGGCCATAGGAATCGGATGCAAATCAACGCTCGACACATACGAAGAGCTACTCCGGAACCTCTCGGTTAAGGTGCGGTTCGCCCGTCACTCGGCGTTTGTGCCCTCATTTATGGAGGACTGGGTTTTCTATCGCATTTGGAAAGCCTGATGAATGATAACTCTTTAGATTATTATTATTAACTATTATTCTAATTATATATTAATTATAATTAATTACAATTAGACTTATAGACCGATTCATCACTTCGAATAGACTTTAAATAATATCCATTTTTCCAATTTCTAATTGAAAATTATAGCACAACTACTAAATCAAACAATTTTTACAAAGTTTTACCTCAAAATATATCTCACAATATTTAGTCAAACTATATTTGCATACAAATTGAATGCATAATTACATACCAATTCTGGTCAACAAATTACTAGTGATCACATAATTCCTTGCAATTGTTATTATTATTAGACAAATGTTATTATAATTACAAATTCCTTTACATTTAATTAATTGTTAGAAAATATTTTTTATTCACATTTATATTATATTTAGTCGTTTTGTTTGTTTTAATACTTCATAAATCTATTGAATTTACGATAAAAATTTAAAATAAAATCTTATTATCGGAAAGAATACCTAAGAAATTATATACAATTTTGTGATAATTGAGTGAAATATATAAATATTATATTAAAAATAAAAACGTGTGATTAATTATAATCTATTAAATTATTTTGTTTGCTCTCAAATTCAAGTGATTTTCACCTCTCATGTGATCATTCATTGCTCTGACGTTTAATACAAATAAAACATACCATATATTTGATTAAAAGTAATGTTTGAAAATATATAATAATTCCTTATTTAAAAGTTATTTAAAAAGCAGTGAAAATGACACAAATAAAAGGTGAAAATCATTTCATTTGATTGCATGGCTTATGAAAAACAATACTAGATATCATTGTAACTACATTTTGAGTTTAGCCAATTGTGCCTCAATCTCACTGTCGGACACTTTGGACTTCGATGTCGAACCCAACTCTCGCGAAGGCATCGGCGCGTTAGCCATCTGTCCGGTAGAGAACAACCAGTCGTTAATACAATTGTATTAAAAAACACATCAATGTTGTAATCATACCTTTCCGGTGATTTCGATGCCGATCTCGTCGAGCACTTGCGCGACCAGAGCGTCCTGTTCCTCCTCATCGCCCGACTCGTCCAAAATGCCGTTCAGTGTGTCCTCAATCATCTCATCCTTCATTGACATCATTTGGTTTTCTTTCTCAAAGTCTTGCATTGTTTTCATGATTTGTTGCGGTTTTAATTGAGCGTTCATTTGACCCATAGTCTGGTGAAACAAACCAATCATTAGTGGATCCAATCAATGGATACAAATATAATGTCAACACAAACCTTTGTGGTGGCGGCCATGGCTTCAGCCATCTTATTGTTGGCCTGAATTATCTAAACGTATGACAAGAATCACTGGTATTATAACAAATGTCAAAACGGTGTCTAAACGGGTGACCAATACCTTAGACTTGGAACCGATGGCACCGATGTTGGCGCCGACGGCGACCGTACGGGTCTTGGATTTCCTCAATTGGACCAACTGTTTGGCGAGAGTCGCGCAGAGGTCTCGGTTGCCCTCTTTGGCCGCTTTCTTGATCTCCATCTCCAGCTGTTTCTCCTGTTTCTCGATATCAGTACGACTTCGCTGGACATCCCTCTGGGCTTTCCTCAGCTCCCGATTCTGCGATCGCATCATCTCTTCAGACAATCGGTTAGTCATTGGATTCAATCATAAGAGACAATCAATTGGCTTACGGTCTGGCGTTTGCTTTTTGCTGAAGAAGTTCATTGTTGTGATCGTTGTTGCGGTTGTGATGGGAAGTGATGGCTATGTGTGGACACAATCGGTGTCTAAGATATGAATGAAATGTGTATTCAATTCAAAACACTATTCGTCGAGAAATGAGTCAATCGTTTGATTCATTCATTCATTGATAACAACAACTGTTTTCATAGTTTCGTTGATTTCATAATTGTTTTGCAATTATTGTAATTTGCAATACATTTACGTATAAAACATACGTAAAGTCCGACAATAATTACCATGAGTTTGATGTGTAATGTATTGGCT